GAAGAAGGCGTTTACTATATAGAGCATATTGGTTCATATCTTTGTATGTTCACTCTTGCAAAAACGAAACATCACGTTACAACGCAAACTTTTTCGGGTGGTGATTTTGATGTTCCATTGTGTCTGATATTATCAGAAACAAAGCGGTACGGAAAAAAATAGAAAATTTTGGCTAAAGAGAGCTCTAGTTATGAACTAAGACATTGAAGAGGTTCATTATCAGTAAAATCCATAAATAGGTAAAACAATCTCAAAATAAGCTTAAATCCTACGGCATGGATTCTTCTGTTCCTCTTTTCTTGCTTTTTAAACCTTTTTTCTTCATTTTTTTTTCCATCTGTAGAAAACTCTAAAATAATTTGCGAATTACAATTTGAACAAACCTCTCTTCTTCTCCTCTTTCTTCTTCTTCCTTCTTCATCAAAACTATTACATTTCTACATTATCTCAAACATCTCCAAATCATTATCTTACACGAAGAAGGAAGAGATAAGAGCATCAATTCTTTAGTATCGGGGTTTCAATTTGCATTCGATCTTTTTATTCCATATTTTAATATTTGATTTGCTTTTTACAAAACCTAAAAAATTATCTGCAATTTTGGGAGGGAAATTTGTCCTTCAAGTTATTCTTGATCTCATCTCTGTTCCCTCCAAACAACAACCAAAAGCCAAAAGAGAGGTGCCAGAAACATCAATGACGGAGGAGAGATCGCCGAGTAGTAAGGTGAAGTTCATGTGCAGTTTTGGCGGCAGAATCCTCCCTAGACCATCCGACGGTGTTCTCAAATATGTTGGCGGTGAGACTCGCGTCGTTGCTGTATCTCCCGACATCTCCTTCTCCGGTAAATTAACCAACTCTTTCCCTGAATTGATCTAATCTCACAATTCCTCTTCTTATCATCGAGCTTTTGTTTCAATTGTAGAACTCGTGAAGAAACTTACGGCAATCACAGAGAACGATATCGTGCTCAAATACCAGATCATTCCAGAAGATCTTGATGCATTAGTGTCCGTTAAGTCTGATGAAGATGTGAAACACATGATAGAGGAGTATAACCGTCATGAAACCCCCAAACTCAGAACCTTCTTGTTTCCTGCAAACCCGGTGGTTCTTGAGAATCAGTTAGGCCCGATCGAGCCACAAACCATAGAGCAACGCTACATTGAAGCCATCAATGGCATTCTTCGCACATCCAAGAGTGCTACTGCTCTTCGTGCTCCCATCAAAACACGACCTTCTTTCACCGTCTCTACTTGCTCCTCTCCCAAATCAGAATCATCACCTGATGGATACAGTCACGAGCCGCCAGAAACGAGTTTTCAGAACAGCTACCAATTGAGCCGGCTTTACCCGATGCATAAAGTACATAGCAGTCCCAACATCTCACAGCAGCTGCAGCCATACAGCCACTTCCACAACGCATACTTGCAGCCTCCTAACTACTTAACCTGTAGGCCGCGACCACCAACTCCGTTAGACATCCCCAGAGGCATCGGTTGGGACCAATCATACACAACCACACATAACTCGGGTGGCGGTAATGGTAAGTGCGGGTGCAATGATGACCGCAGGTTCTGGGGAAGAGCAAGCAGCGTTCCTCAAAGTCCTAGGAACCACGGACTCCGCCTCTGATATGCTATGCTGCATAACATTGCAACCATCTGTATATATTTGGTCATGTGTTTGTTGTACAGTTTAACTTTGTAGGTTCTAAATGTGCGCCTGCATGATATATGAGAACGTCTCTACTTCACAATGGTAGGCTGCAAGAGGTTTGGTTTATTGTACATGTTTTGTGACAACACTGCTTCTATGGACAATATGTGCTCCAGAATATTGAATTGCTTCACGTATGTGTTTAAAAAGACAAAATTTGACTCTTACCATTCATTTGTTGCCCACAAATCACATTATCTTTCCTACAACATCATGGACAAACCCCAGAAATAATCCTTGTGTGAATCCAATTTGTATTATTTGCTGTCTGTGAAGTCAGCGTCAATCACATCACCACCGTTGTCTCCACCTTTGGCTGAAGATGATGAGTCAGACGACGAGGAAGCTTCACCTCCAGGAGGAGAACCAGCACCACCTGGTTGGGGTTGGTTGTACAGAGACTGGCCAATCTGCATCACTTCTTGGTTAAGAGCTGCCATGGTGTCTTTGATTTCTTGAGTTGATCCGCTTCCTATCTTTTCCTTCAGCTCTTGGAGCTTAGCCTCAACCTTTTCTTTCACTGGACCTGGAATTTTCTCTCCAAGTTCTTTAAGCTGCTTTTCAGTCTGGTAAACGACAGAATCAGCCTGGTTCTTCGTGTCAATCGCATCTCTCTTTTCTTTGTCTTCCTTTGCAAACCTCTCTGCTTCTTGCACCATTGTGTCTACCTGCAACACCACACAACCAATATGAATAAGAAAATAATTACACATCTGACATAAGTGAGGCAAGTTTGATAATTGCACACACCTCATCCTTAGGCAAGGTACTAGCACCAGTAATGGTGATGTCCTGCTTCTTTCCTGTGCCTTTGTCCGAAGCACTGACAGATAAAATTCCATTGGCATCAATGTCGAATTTGACCTCGATTTGTGGAACTCCACGTGGTGCAGGCGGAATACCATCAAGACGGAAGCTACCGATAGACTTGTTATCTCTTACGAACTCTCTTTCACCCTGTAACACATTAATCTCAACGCTTGTCTGTCCATCTGCAGCGGTTGAGAAGACTTCTGACTTAGAAGTTGGAAGTGTGGTGTTTCTTGGAATAATCTTGGTCATGACACCACCAAGAGTTTCCAAACCAAGCGATAGCGGCGTCACATCAAGAAGAACAATGTCACTCACATCTCCAGATAGAACACCAGCCTGGAATCAGAGGCCAAATAGCATTTTAGTGATATGGCTCATCACAGTAAAATGTCAAAAGAGGTCAACAAGAACACACCTGAACTGCAGCACCTAGAGCTACAACTTCATCAGGATTGACTGAGACATTAGGTTCTTTCCCTGTCAGCTTCCTTACGAGTTCCTGAACAGCAGGAATACGTGTGGATCCACCAACAAGGATCACCTCATCAATATCTTTGAAGCTGAGTTTTGCATCCCTCAGGGAATTCTCCACAGGTGTCCTGACCCTACAAGTTTGAATGCAGAGAAAAAAACACTTAGGCCCTCATGGTGAATCGAACAGCAATCTTGTTTTACATGGCAGGTTACTGATCTACGCCATAGAAAACAATAACTGAAATTTACCTGTCGAGTAAGTCAGAGCACAATTCTTCAAACTTGGCTCGGGTGAGAGTGGTTTCAATGTGCTTAGGCCCATCAGCCGTTGCAGTGATAAAAGGCAAACTGGATAGAGAATCGAAATCAATTAATATTCTACAGACCAATGGGAACGAGGTAAATAGATTTGAGAGGGAAAAGTGAACCTCATGTTTGTCTGAGTCAGTGAGGAAAGCTCAATTTTAGCTTTTTCAGCTGCCTCAGTTAACCTCTGAAGCGCTTGCTTGTCTTTGAGAAGATCTATACCTTCATCTTTCTTGAAAGTTGAAGCAAGCCAATCAACAACTCTCTGCATTGCAAAAGTCATATCTACCAGTGAGTAAGGTTATTTCCTATTTAGAAAGGATTTCAGACACGTCTGTGTTTTGACTCACCTTGTCAAAGTCATCACCTCCCAAATGTGTATCACCAGATGTAGAAAGCACTTCAAAAACACCATCACCAACCTCAAGGACTACATTCCAAGAAACAAAAACCCGGAAATAATTAGAAAACTCCAATACCTTAGGAAGACAGTAAAAGCCAAAGACTTTGCAATCCCAAATAGAACTTTAGTAAGTAAAAATACCTGAGACATCGAAGGTACCACCACCAAGATCAAAAACAAGAATAGTTTCATTGCTTTTCCTCTCAAACCCATAAGCCAAAGAAGCAGCAGTAGGCTCATTAATAATCCTAAGAACTTCCAATCCAGCAATACGACCAGCATCTTTAGTAGCCGTCCTCTGTGAATCATTGAAGTAAGCAGGCACAGTGATAACAGCTTTGGTTACTTTATCATTCAAGAATCTCGAAGCATCGTCCACAAGCTTCCTCAAAACCTACATTACAACCACACAGTACTTAGTAAATGCTCCATTTCCCAAATTCAGACCCTAAATTTCGAAAGAAAGATTGACTCAAACCTGAGCAGAAATCTCCTCAGCAGCAAATTGTTTACCAATAGCAGGACAATCAAGCTTAACATTACCATTCTCATCTTTAATAACTCTATAAGAAACCTGCTTAGACTCTTCAGCAACTTCATTCATTCTCCTACCAATAAACCTCTTAACAGAGAAGAAAGTATTCTCCGGATTAACAACAGCTTGACGTTTCGCAATCTGACCAACAAGTCTATCTTTACTCTTAGTATAAGCTACAACAGAAGGCGTAGTTCTTTGACCTTCAGCGTTAGTCACAATCGTTGGTTTCCCTCCTTCCATAGCAGCAACGGCTGAGTTCGTCGTACCTAAATCGATTCCGACGACTTTCTCGTTAACAACACGGACTGGACCAACGGTGTATCGAGAAGCGTTGTTGTTTCTTCGTCCCATACGAAGGAAAGCGGAGGTTGGAGTAGAGAAAGGACTTGTTCTGTTGCCGAAGAAGACGCTTCGTGGAATGGAATTGGTTTTGTTGTCGAGGTTTTTGCCGGAAGTAGGGAATCCGATTCCGCCGAGGATGTGAATTTGAGCGGCGGATGAAGCCATGGTTGGAGAAGAGAGATTGAGAAAAAAAAACCCTAAAGGAAAGGGAAGGAGTTAGGTGGAGGAGGAGGGGGAAGAAGGAGATAAGAAGAGTGAAGGAGAAGAAAACTATGTGGGAGCTAAAGTGGAAGGTTCTAGAAAAATGGTTGGTGGTGGTAACATATGGATTTTTAAATATTTGGGCTTCGTAAAAGCCCAATACTCCCATATAAATGGAATAAAGTCGAACCGGATATTCAAAAGCAAGAAACCGTCAAAACACGAATGGAATAGAGTTCGTTTCGTGATGCTTGCTTGCTCTATTTTCAAGTCACGTCGGTATGTTTTCTTAACACTAATTGATTTGCGTCTTATTATTTAATTACTTTACTAATTAAAAATAAAGATGCAATCGTGCAAGGCCCAAGTTCTCTCATAGGTACACATATCAAGCATGATGATGCAAACGCAAGTAACGTGTGAAACATTGTTTCACTGCTTTTGTTACTTGTTGTCCTAAACAACACCATTCCATTGTTGCGTCGTGAGTTTAATGATTACTCTCAGCTTTCATTAGTATTAATAATTGCAAAATAAAATTACTTTTTTTTGTTAGAGCACAAATAGTTTTACATTGCTTGAAAGTAAAGTTTCGAAATCAGAAAAATAGTTAATATGTTTTGGCCATATTAATAAAAAGATTTTTGGTCAGCGAATCCCTCCTACAAATAGTGTTACATTAAATATTTATATTGCTTAAAGTAAAGTTTTATAATCAGAAAAATACGTTTTGGCCAGATTAATAAGAAGATTTGACCTTTAAATAGTTGTTTGTGGTGGCGACTAGTCCAATAATTCAGGAGATATTTTATTTAATCCCAAACACAAAAACTCAAGTCACAAACTCTACACACACAAAAAAAGCTTCGTTGAAAAAGTCATAATTTTTCAAATTCGCTTTACGAAAGTTAGTTTTTACCTATCTTCTTCTTCGGCTTTGATCGTTCGTCTCTGCCACAACAACTCTCACGATTTTTTTTTTTTGTCCCTTTTTTTCTTTGATCTAACCAATCAAGATTCAGAGCAATCGTTTTCGGGTACTCTTCTGTTTTCTCTCTTTGTTATTATTGATCGTCTTCATGAATGATCGCAATGCAGAATTCTTATGTTGTGTTAATTGTTAGTGTGGTTTTAACTTATTCTCCTTCTACTATGTTGCCATTTATTATGTTCATATCATTGCCAGTTTTTCTATTCCCTAACCTCTTCATGGCTGACAATTGGAGAAGGAGAAGCACTTAAAATTGTTGACTTGTACACTAAATTGTTTCTCTTTTGTTTCAGGACCGATGTTTGAGGAAAAGATTATGGATATTGGTGAAGATGTAAAATCTTTCAACTCTTCTGATACTAAAGTAAGCTTTTTTTGTTTTTCCAGATTTTATGTGGTTCATGTTTTGAGGGACTTCATTGAAATATGTTACTCATTAACATTGCTTTTTTTTGTCTTACCTGAATCTTCAAGTAAAGTTGTCTTGGTGTCTTATATTGTCCCATATTTATCAAATCAGGTTGATCCAGCAGTACCTGCATCTTTGACATGGCAAAGAAAGATAGACAGTGACGCAAAGCCTCCCCGGGAATTCAATCTGACTGCTAAAGAGATTTTTCAGCTGGTACCTATGGAAACAAAACATTTCAAAATATAACTGTCATTAAAATTCTGCTGAATGCTTGATTGGCTTGTTAAAAGTTATCTTTTTGAGACTTGCTTTTGTTCCGGTAGGCTCCTGTTGGCATTCGGTTATGGTTTCTTTGCAGAGAAGAAGCTGCTAAAGGAAGGGTAAACACATTTTCCTAGTTCAGTTTTACCAAAGAGTTTTTGAAATATGCTGCTTTCTTTTTGATACATAACAATCTGTTAATTTCAGTTGGCCTTCATAGATCCATTCTCTAGGCACTCTGTAACATCTTCCCATGGTGTTCCACTTGGAGGTATTGGGTATGTTTTTCCTTCTTATCACTCAACTTGAACATATTGGTCTTTTGAAACTGTGTTTCGTGGAGAATTCTCGGAACAATCTCGAAGTTCTTGTCTATGCTGATCATACTTGTAACCTTTCATACAGAACTTAATGACAAAATATCTATAAGCTCTGTGAATACTTATCTAGCTGTTGTTACATGCAGTGCTGGTAGCATAGGAAGGAGTTTTCAAGGTGAATTCCAGCGATGGCAGCTATTCCCTCCAAAATGTGAAGATGATCCAGTTCTAGCAAATCAATTCTCAGTAAGTTACAAATATACAGACTTTGCAGGAGGAAATTGGTAGAAGATAGCTTCAAGATCCTTATGACAATATGAACTTGAAGCCCTGTTTTGAAATTGCTCTCCATGGTCTCTACTAAATTGGTGAATTTGTTTGATGCAGGCATTTGTTTCACGTGCCGATGGTAAAAAGTACTCGACCGTTTTATGTCCTAGGAATCCAAAGCTCGGAAAGTAAGCTAACTACCTCTCTGCTTCTTGTTATCTTGCAGTGAATACTCTTTCTTATAGATGATTGAAGTTTATATATTCGAACAGACAAGATTCGGAATCAGGAATTGGTTCCTGGGACTGGAATCTGAAAGGAGACAAGTCTACATACCATGCTTTATATCCAAGGTCTTGGACAATGTATGAGGGTAATATGCTTCTGTATATAATTTCATACTTTTAAGTATTGATGCGTCTGTTTTATGAGGCTGAAACTTTAATATTTGATGGTGTATAGGTGAACCTGATCCAGAGCTTAGGATAGTTTGTCGTCAAGTTTCACCATTTATACCTCACAACTACAAAGAAAGCAGCTTTCCTGTATCTGTTTTCACTTTCACAGTATGTCTAGTGTTTCTTTGTGACATTTGTCTGCTGTAGAGCTTACTATGGTACTGATGAGTTTGGCACATATATTCATCAGCTTCATAATCTTGGAAACACTACTGCGGATGTGACATTGCTCTTCACTTGGGCGGTGAGATAGTTGTTCAATGCAGTCATATTGTATGGCTTTTGTTTTACCGTTCTTTCGCAATTCTCATGATAATTTCTACATGGTTCAGAATTCTGTTGGAGGAGACTCAGAGTTCTCAGGTGGCCACTACAACTCCAAAATAATGTATATATTAACTACTTAAAATTCTCTACTCATCAGACTTGATCTTCTTTTCTGGCTTTACTATATAAATTCGCATGTTAATTACTAGAACTTCTTTAACTTTGTGTGCGTGTTTATGCTAACTCGATGTTGATGATTATAATAGGATGAATGATGGAGTCCAGGGTGTGCTCTTACATCATAAGTAAGTTCTTCCATATTTTTTGCATAAAGAACCAAATTAGGAGAAGAAACTAATCTTTTGTGGTTGTTAAGTAGCAAACTCTGAATGTTTCAACTTTGTTGCTCTATATTTTTTCTGATACAGAACCGCAAACGGATTACCATCATTGTCATATGCGATTTCAGCTCAGGCGACTGATGGTGTTAGTGTCTCAGCCTGCCCATTTTTCATAGTATCTGGAAAGCAGAATGGAATCACAGCAAAAGATATGTGGCAAGCTGTCAAAGAGGTTGACATATCCTTCTATTTGTTAAGAGGTCTTGGATATCACTGTATTATTCGTTACTGTGAGATTTGATATCCGCCACTGTATTTGTTACAGAATGGTTCTTTTGATCACTTCAAGGCTTCTGAGGCGTCAATGCAGTCAGAGCACGGGTCATCGATTGGGGCAGCAGTAGCAGCTTCTTTAACAGTCCTACCGGGAGAGTCACGCATTGTCACATTTTCTCTGTCTTGGGACTGTCCTGAAGTGCAGTTTCCTAGTGGTAAAATTTATTCCCGGTAAGATTTGCTACAGAATTTTCTTAATGGTGATGGCTAAAGCCAGCTTTCTAAATAGAATCTTTTCAGGCGTTACACAAAGTTTTATGGCAATCATGGTGATGCTGCAGCACAAATTGCACATGATGCTATTCTTGGTAAAGACCTAATTATCCTAAAATATATATTCCTGTTGATTTACTTCAAAATGAAGCTTCCACTGACAAGTATATTTTATGAAACAGGACATAGTCAATGGGAGTCCTGGATAGAAAATTGGCAAAGACCAATACTTGAAGACAAAAGACTACCTGCATGGTAAGGCTTGTTGTTCAGCTTCTGTAAGACATATCAATGCTCATAAAGTTATCATAAACGGGTTCGGTGTTTGGTGTTTTTAGGTACCCTGTCACTCTCTTCAACGAGCTTTATTACCTTAATTCAGGAGGAACTCTTTGGACAGGTAGATTTTGGCAGATGATACTATTTACTTTCGCCATGACATTATGACGCGATGTTCTCATGTTAGTCCATATTTTTCTGCAGATGGATCATCCCCAGTACATAGCTTGGCAGGAGTCAGAGAAAATAAGTTCTCACTTGATAAATCCCAACTCGGTCTGAAGAATGATATCGAGGTACCACATCAGAATGATACAGCTATCTCTGTCCTTGAAAAGATGGCTTCTACACTTGAGCAACTTCATGCATCAACAGCATCAAACTCTGCATTTGGCACAAAATTACTTGAAGAAGGAGAAGAGAACATTGGACACTTCCTTTACTTAGAAGGCATTGAATATCGTATGTGGAACACTTATGATGTTCATTTCTATGCATCTTTTGCACTAGTGATGCTTTTTCCAAAACTGGAACTTAGTATCCAGAGAGACTTTGCTGCTGCGGTGATGCTACACGATCCCACTAAAGTGAAAACTCTTAGCGAGGGACAATGGGTTCAAAGGAAGGTTCTTGGTGCAGTTCCTCATGACTTAGGCATCAATGACCCTTGGTTTGAAGTCAATGGATATACTCTTCACAATACAGATCGTTGGAAAGATTTGAACCCCAAATTCGTCCTCCAGGTGTACCGGGATGTAGTTGCCACAGGCGACAAAAAGTTTGCATCAGCGGTCTGGCCTTCAGTGTATGTTGCAATGGCATATATGGCTCAGTTTGACAAAGATGGCGATGGAATGATTGAGAACGAAGGATTTCCAGATCAGACTTATGATACATGGTCCGCGTCTGGTGTAAGCGCTTACTGTGGTGGACTTTGGGTGGCTGCACTGCAAGCTGCATCCGCATTGGCACGCGTAGTTGGTGACAAGAACTCTCAAGACTATTTCTGGTCAAAGTTTCAGAAAGCAAAACTTGTATATGAAAAGAAGTTGTGGAATGGATCTTATTTTAACTATGACAACAGTGGAAGTCAGTATAGCTCATCTATCCAAGCTGATCAACTAGCTGGTCAATGGTTTGTTACCTCCCATTCTTTAAGAAGTGTTATGGTTTTTGGATAGAAGTATGATTTGATGTGGTGTGATATAATTGCAGGTACGCGAGAGCATCAGGGCTTTTGCCTATAGTAGATGAAGATAAGGCAAGAACTGCCTTGGAGAAAGTTTATAACTTCAATGTGATGAAGATTAAAGATGGGAAACGTGGGGCTGTAAATGGGATGCATCCCAATGGAAAAGTTGATACAGCATCGATGCAATCACGAGAGATATGGTCCGGTGTTACATATGCGTTGTCTGCAACAATGATCCAAGAAGGTCTAGTTGATATGGCGTTTCAGACTGCAAGTGGTGTCTATGAAGCTGCCTGGTCTGAAGCCGGACTCGGGTAAGCTTTATCTTGATATTGTTCTTTCTCTCTATAGTCACTGACTGATACTGTGTTAAAACAGGTACTCCTTTCAGACACCTGAAGCGTGGAATACGAATGATGAGTATAGATCACTGACTTACATGCGTCCCCTTGCAATATGGGCTATGCAATGGGCACTAACAAAAACCAATCAAAAACAGCAACAACTTGGTCTTGAACCAGAACAAGAACCAGAAGTAGAGACTAACTCTTTAATGAAACATGATATCGGGTTTTCCCGGGTTTCTAGACTTCTGAATCTACCTAATGAAGCATCAGCCAAAAGCACACTGCAGACTTTGTTCGACTATACTTGCAGGAGAATAATGTCATAGATTCATTTTGCACTTATTTATGCAATCACTCATTGTTTCCGTACATTACGGCCTGATTAGTAACAATTGCTTGTTGGATTGTCGAAAGTTCAACCACTATACTATAATACTTTCAGCACAACAGATTTATCGTTCCTAATATTGACAAGGTAGTTCCAGTATTCAAAGGATAAACATAAACATGTGTTTCTAGATGTGCATCTAGTGATTCTTACAAGAGTGATTTAGTCAAATAGGTAGGTTTTAAAGTTTAATTTGTAGGCAGGTAGTTTTTGATTTTTGAAAGTGTAATTAGAGAAATAGGTACTTTTGAGTTTGTGAGAAATAAATGGAGGATTATATCCTTAGTGAAATGGAAAGAGTTAAGGAAGCCACATTTTTAATATTTAACACTAACACCCCCTTCATTTTTTGTTCATAAAAAATTCTATTTTTAGATATTTCACTATATATATGGACACACCCAAATATTATTTTTATACGGTATATTTTTCAAAAGATATTGTAGAGAATTCAATTAATAAACTAGGTATGAAAAAAAAAAATTAGATGTCACTTTTTGTGTTTAGGCTTTGAACAAACTTCAGTTTAATTATCATTGTGTTTAGGCTTTTAAGAGTGGCCTAGGCGGTCGTCTATGCCCCACCTATACCATGGACGTTACCTTCTACGCATGTTAGAATTCTGTATTTTATGTTTTTAAACAGATTTAAGCGGTTCTAAACATTCCTACATATTGTTAGTCAATTATTATTTAATTAACTTTATTTTTCGTATATTTTTCTAATTTCTAACTACATACAATATGTTTAAATTTATAAATTTTAACTACATATGATTATAAATGTTCATATGAATTAAATAAATGTTTTAGTCTAATTCTTGTTAACGATTTAATATTTTTTTTTTTTAATTGATGTTTTATATAACTTTTATCTATAATATTATATTTATAATTTTTTATGTTTTAAACGCTTAGACTGCCTAAAATCGCCTAGACCCCGATCATTCGTTCTAGGCGTTACATCACCACCCGCATAACCCTACCACTTTTTTTGGACATTGCAATTTACTAAATGCAAAACTTCAAAGAAAATCAATGAACAAAAATTGGGTTCATAATCAACCATCCAACGTTCACCATCCACAAACATACAATCCGCCATATGCAATATATTCACCCACAACGTAATCACCTACCATTCACCATATACCTGCATCCACCGTTCACATACCCACCATTTCATCATCCATTGTTCACAAACCCCCCACCATCCACCACCGCTAATAGTTTTGATTGATTTTTTTAAAATCTCTAGACAGAGGTCCATACATTTTCTTAAGCTCGGTCTAGTTTTTAATAATTTATATGTATCAGCTGTCACTCAATTTTACGACCTCTTGTATTATTCTAGGATACATTTTCACTCAAACTACCGATCTCTGTCAGGTATTATTTATTATCTTTCTCTATTTAATGAATAGTTTATTTTTAGTTCATTTTGAGTACTTTTACGTAATTAATTTAACTAATAAATGTGTATACATTATTCCAAATGCTATGATAGTATGATGTATGTAGAAATATTCCAATTTTTAAAGAAAGTTTCATACAAAATTAATTAAATATATATTTTATCGAAAAATACATATAGACTAAAAAAGTAAAAAAAAAATCTATATATATCTTAAATTTTCGTATTTTTCTCTTTAATATTCTTATTACTTATACTTTACTATTTTTTATTTTAACCAAACAAAAACTCAAACTTTAAAGATTTGAATAATCAATCAAACAAAAAAATCTAAAATTTGTAAGCGGCATCAATATATGAATATTTCTAAAATTTATGATTAATTTATTTATGTATTAGTTTGAATTTAAATGTAGAACTTGATTTGATTAGTTAGCACACAAGTGCATGCAGAGCCGTTCCGGAATGTTTTCATGCCTGAAGCAAAATTTAATTCTTAAGCCCATTAACAATCATAAGCCTTGCAAACTTAGCTATGAACTTTACTTCAAGAAGCGAATGAACTTGTGTTTATTCTCTCTCTAGAAGAATATCTAACTCTAGAATGAGAAACTTTGAAAATTCTCACACACTTGCTGACTTGCACACTTGTTTACATCCGAATAATTTTCTCTATGCGTTTGTTTTCTCCTTTAACCAACCCTTTTTGATTCTTTCTAATTTGAGCATTGCAAAGTCTTTTGGAAACTCTCTTTCCCCTCGCACATGCATGGCCCGTCCCGAGACGTTGACAGTTTTTTTTTTTTTTTTTTTCGTCAAACACCATTTTATTAAGTAGTCGGACGGAGACTTTCCTCTAGAGAAAGCCAATCCGGAGCCGATGTGCTTACATGGGAGAATAAAGAACCTCGTGCTCTTGCCTTTTTTGCAAGGCAATCAGCACGGAAATTGTTACGACGAGGAATAAACCTCATAGAGAAAGATGGGAAACAAAGCTTCAAAAGCTTAAAAAGTTGTAATTCTACTGCTAAGGTAGGCCATTCAGATGGATTCTCCAAAATAGAAATTAGCTCGGAGCAATCTGTGGCGAAGCCAAAACTTGTCATCGATTCTGAGATGAGGCATTCCATTGCCCAGAGAAGGGTTTCAAATTCTGCTTGCAAAGGCGATAATCCCCGACGAGAACTTTTCAATCCAAGCAATATAGGGGATTCGTTATTCATAATGATCCATCCGTGCCCACTGAGAGTGTCAGTAGCGTGCCAAGAGCCATCAATTTGGCATTCAGGTGAAGTGTCTCCTGAGATTGAAAGATTAGATGGGTGTCTCGTGGTTTCAACGAGGAGGTCCTCTGGAGTATTTGCCGCCTGCCAATCCTTTGCCTCTTGAAATGCATGATCTAGCGTGTTTTGAGGAGATTCACGAATATTTTCAAAGATAAAGCTATTTCGAGCCTTCCATAGATACCAGAGTATCCATGGAAAAAAATGTCCAATCTCCTCTCCATTCATCATCCCTTTAGCTCTCCAGAATAGAAAGTCCAAATTTGAGAAAAGGGACTGACTAGGGAAGCATGAAGGTAATGATGGGATCGGTGAAAGAGCCCAAGTTTGAAGCGCTGGTGGGCATTCAAAGAGGAGGTGATTAATTGTCTCCTCCTCAGCGCCACATCTTAAGCAGTGCTTCTCCTTACCGATGTGTCGGTAGAATAAGGTATGGTTTGTAGCCAAACAACCTGATAAACATTGCCACACAAAATGCTTAAGCTTTCGTGTAGTTTTTAACTTCCATACTTGTGCCAGAAGGGGAGTGATCCCCGGTCCCTGAAAAGGGTGGTCACAAGTAGGGCGAGAGAGTTCCCGCGCAGCCCAGTATCCTGACTTAACAGAATAGTTGCCAGATTTTGTCCCATTCCAGCTATAGTCATTGCTCAAATAAGAGCGACTTGGTCGGATACCAAGAATCAATGGTATATCCGAAGGGTCGATTAGGGCATGCAGCTTGTCAAGTTTCCAATGTTTGGAAACAGGATCAATGAAATGATCCACATAAAGATGTGGATCTCTCTCGGTCGTCTTGCCTTTGGCAGGGCGAGCCGGAATGTCGGGAATCCATGGGTCTAACCAAACTCTGGTGTTCATCCCTGAACCGATAGTCCTTCTTAATCCCGAGGTAAGAAGAGGTTTTGAAGCCATAATACTCCGCCATCCATAAGAAGGCCTATTAGATTTTTTGATCTCAAGCGGGTCACTGTATCGATAGTACCGTCCTCGGAGGACACGACTGAGGAGAGAATTTGGAAATTTGATTAAGCGCCATAACTGCTTTGCTAATAGGGCAAGGTTAAATTCCTCCAATGTTCGAAAGCCTAAACCCCTTCTGATAGTTGGGTGCATAGCTTATCCCAGGCGATCCAGTGGATTCCTTTACTATCTGCTCTTGTCTTCCACCAAAAATCCGCAATAGCACTCTTTAATTTTGAGCTGATGGCTTTAGGTAGGAGGAAACATGACATGACATATGTCGGAAGGGCTTGAGCTACTGATTTTATAAGAATCTCTTTCCCACCCTTGGAAAGGAATTTGGCTGACCAAGTATTGAGGCGGCTATGAAGACGGTCTCGGACAAAGGTAAAAACTTGAGTTTTTGATCCGTGGATTTTTTCAGGAAGTCCCAAATAGGTACCCATTCCGCCTTCGTTAGATATCCCAAGGGTTCGCTTGATGGTATTCCGAGTTTGGTTATCAACGTCCTTGCCAAACATTACCGAAGATTTTCGGAAATTTAGTTGTTGTCCTGAAGCTTCGCCATATGATCGAATAATATCTATTATAGCCTTCCCTTGGCTCTCATCTTGTGCACGGAGGCTCTAATCGCCCAATTGAGATCGGCAGAATGGAATGGCCACATTCAAGGTCTCCAAGTCTCAAAAGCAAGCCCATCAACCTCTCATCTCCTCTTTGCAGATGATATTTACTTTTTGGTGGTTGTTTCTCACAGATTAAAAAAAGAACAATTTTAGGGTTGAACCCAAATATTCACCCCCTTTAGTTTTAGCCAATCATTATGCCATGTCATATAGTACTTAATTAAAAATTAAAAATTAGACAAACAAATAAATTAAATTAAGAAAATAAATTATTAACAAAAACATTGAGTTACTTAACGGGGTCGTCGTTTTTCTTTTTAGGTTTTGCAATTTTATTCCATGACCATTGATAGCATCAACTTCTGCATCCTTAGAATAGAACTTTCATTATTCCGGAACTGTTCTAGCTGCAAACTCTCTCCTTTTCCCCTGAATAATTTTGAACCCTAAATTAAGAACTTGTAAGCTAGTTTTCATTACGTATCATTTGAGTCAAGTGAAAATTATTAAAATTGACTTTAGGAAGAAGGTGTTAATTGTTTTAGATGTAAACTTGATGAGTTGATTTGGATCTTTATTATATGGATCATTATTTGGTTTGGTTGTCTCTCTGTGACTTGTTCAATTTTTGCTTTAACATTAATATATCCAGGAAGATGATAGCGGCATAACCCAAACCATGGAATGTGCTCAGTGCTTCACGTGAAGGCTCTCAGCTGCTCCATCAACAAGCTTAGCGTCACCCTTGTAGGTTTCGAGTGTGGCTTCGGAGTTAGCCTTGCACCTCACATACAAAGCCTCTTGAGCTGCCTTCGCATTCTCCTCTATGCCTGCCCATGTCTTCAAGGGGTACTCTGCTACAACACACGTCGGAAGAAGAAATACAATGACCTTGGCGATGGCGATGTTGTGACGCTATCCCTAGAAGGCTATAAGAGCTAGAGAAGCTAATCAGCCATGGTGATGAAATAGTTACTGCCTTTGGGGCGACGGTCACAGATACTTTTATGTGTCAATCACGCAATACAATTAGCCTCATCAACCGTCGCTGCCGTATCTCCTCTCACATGGTCAATCAATCAATCTTTTGTTAAGTAAATTAATGTTTTTCTTAATGTTTTATTTTCTTTATTTACTTAATTTGTTTGTTTAATTTTTAATTTATATTTAAGTGTTATATGACATGACATAATGATTGGCTACAAGTAATGGGGGTGAATATTTGGGTTCACCCCTAGGGCTTAGGGGTGAACCCAATAATTGTTCAAAAAAAAAATCACGCTCACAATAATTTTGATTAAAACTCTGCACGAACAAATGAGATAACATACCTGGAAACCAGAGTTAACAATTTGTTCCTCCGATTAAGAAATCAAAATGAAAAATGTACTTAAATTTAAAATTTTAAATATTAGTTTTTTAATTATAAATCATTTTATGGAATTCTCTTGAAATATATAAACCATCATTAGTAAGTCATTGCTAATTTGTTTAGGGAAATGATATCATCTACATTATCTAAGTACGGCTAGCTTCCACCGGCCCCCAATTTTCTTAACATATATTTTATGATCACAAGTATATATAGGGAGTAAATTATAAGATTATAATATGAACTGCAATATAGTGTAATTAATCTGCGCAACTCTTTATTTTCTAATACACAAAGAAACATTTTTAATTTCTTATGCTCGGGCCGGGATAAAGTTGACGAAAAAAGTTCATTCTCATGCGTACACGTTTCTCCGATGCATAAAAAATAATTCCGACGATGTATCATTTAATTAAACTTGCTTATATATTTGATATTTCAAAATGTGTTCTATATGTATTGTGACGTTTTAGACTTCACTACACTATATTAATAATCTAGAAAACTCTATAATTTAATAAGTATAGTTGCTTTGAAAAACTTTTTTTTTTTTTTCTATATAGATATATGTCCTAGCCGCCCCTTAATTTTAATCCATATATGTATTTATCAAGTCACTACTCTTAGCGCGGCTTCCGGCCGATGTATAAGACTATGTCCAACCCTCCTTTCGCGTAGGATATCAACTTAAAATTCTCAAACCATTCACGCATGCTTTGGCTCTCTCGATCATCTCATCCATTCTCTCAAGCTTTAGAAAAATTTGTAGTGGAAAAATTTATTATGACACTTCATGTGCAAAAGTTCACGTTGTAGACTTGAGACTCCAAGTGTTTTCCTTGGCATGCATGCAACATCAACATGTAGATTACAACACAATCAAGAAATTAATTCGGTAGGAAACCATGTTGATAGTGAAGAGACAATAAACGATTGGATCTTAATTTCCCCATAAAAATCCGCAATGATGAAATATGTCAAGGTCAGGTCCCATAACTAAAGGAAAACAAATATCTCTATTTTTCATCGTGCTTCTCGTTCTTGCATGAATAATAAGAATTTATAAAAAGAGAATGCATAACTTGTACATCTAACAACTAAAAGAAAATTCATGAGAATTACATTAGGTTGAAGTCACACACTATGAAAATTTCACTTGAAGCAAAGAAAAAGGATCAACTGATGTACATTAAGGCCTCTTAATTTTGATTGGATCAGGCGATTAAGGCCACCGCCCAGATAAAGGTTAAAAAACATTTTAACGAATAGATTTTTTTTTTTTTGATATTTTAGTTTGGTTTTGATGTTATTCCAATAGATGTTCTTTTCTTGAAATGTGTAAAGTTTCAACAAGTCTGGCAAATAACATTGTGGTTCGTAAGTGGACGAAGTCTATCTTGGTCTCAATTGGTTGCTTGTTGGAATTCAGTTTTGTGAAAGCAAAGTATCTCACTCCATATATATATATATCTAAGATCTTTATAAAATTTTAACTATAAGAATCTCATATCTAAAAAATCTAAAAAAACACATGGAAAGTAAGATGTCAAAAATATTTGTAATTGAGTTAGAATCTCAATTTAATTTAAAATCCTAACAAACTTTGCAAGATCATATATATGAAACATATACACCCTTTTTCATATAAATTTTAACTTATTTTTTGTATTATAGTGGGCCATAAAAATATTGGACACAGTTGTAAAATTTCGGAGAAATTGATTTATGCAAAAAAAAAAAACCATTCATATAATACTTTATTTAGTTTCCCCAAAAAAATATTATTTAGAAAAATGTCATTTATTTCCAATTTTCATAGAATGCCTATTGTGAAAACATTTGTTAGGATACAATCATTATGGAAAAATCATAATTTTATTTTCCGCCAAAACACTATTTTATTAAGTTATCGGAAGAAAACTCTTTTTTTTTTTTTTTTCGCCAAAATCATAATTTTTTTCCGCCAAAATCATAATTATGGTTGGAAAAATCATAATTAGAAGTAGAACAAATAATTATGCAATTTTTGTTATTGACTATTTATATTTAATTAGGAGAAAATATCAAGGATTTTCCTTATAAAATCCTAACAAACAAAGAGAGTTTAGTTTTGCCTAAATTAGGATCAAATAAAAACAACAAAACTCCTGACCCATAACTACGACCTCCATCAAAAAAAAAAAAAAAAAAAAAGAAATCGACTTTTTTAATATCTGCTTGAGCGCGAGAGGTTCTTGATTCCAGGAATCTCGTGCCCAATTATATAGCTTCTCAATTTCTGAACCTTTTTTATCTGATCGGGAATCAAAAAATTGTGGAGAAGATGGATGATCGTAGCGAAGAAGACCATGATATAGAGGTTGAAGGAGGAGCTTTTCAAGGTTACGAGAGGAAGATATCTGGGATTCTAGACGATGGATCTGTCGGATTTCGACAGCCTCTTCTCGCTAGGAATCGAAAGAACACAACTTCTCAGATCGCTATTGTCGGAGCTAATTCTTGTCCCATCGAAAGCCTTGATTACGAGTCTGTGTTTTTTCCTCTTCTCTCTTCTTCTTCTTCTACACAGAACTTCAAAGTTTCAATTTTTATGCATAAATATTCGATTAGTTTTTTTGTATACTTCATCTTAAATTTGATTTTTTATGTGAAGTTTCAATTTTTATGTCCTTCATGGTAATAGAGAAAATTAGTGGCCAAGATTTTTGGATTATGTAACGTTTTGGGTCCCATGTACTTTTAAATATTTCTGGTCAAAATTGAAGCTTTTAGCTTTTGATAGACATCATAGCCACTGAGCCAAAGCTTTTGGCTCATTATTTTGAGAAAAGTGCAAATCTTTTTTGGGGTCAGTGAGATGCAATCATAGTTTCAGACTGAATTTGACTTTTTGTCTTTGTGTGTGTCTCCTCCTCTTGCTATACTTGATTGTTTGTCTTGCCTAATTTGGTATGTATGATTATAGGTTATGTAACATAACAGGATCTTGACTTGCAAATTTATTTGGCAGGATCTTTGAGAATGATTTTTTCAAGCAAGACTGGAGGTCTAGGAAGAAGATTGAGATACTACAGTATACGTTTCTTAAATGGGCGCTTGCTTTTCTTATTGGGTTAGCCACTGGGCTTGTTGGCTTTTTGAATAATCTTGGTGTTGAGAATATTGCTGGATTCAAACTCTTGCTCATTGGTAGTCTCATGGCCAAGGAAAAGTAAGTGTAGCTTTTCTTGTTTATTTCTGCTTCTACAGCATATTTTAGTTCTATCTACCCCCTGTTTAAGTTCAGTAGATGCTGTGTTTTAGCTTCTGGTGTTATTTTAGATTTAACGTGGCAGTTACTGTTAAATATAGTTATGAGAATTAAGTCTATATGTGTGGATAAATTACTGTGAAATTAGAGGATGAGAATGATAACTGACATCGGATCTTTCTCGAATACTGCAGATATTTTCAGGCATTTTTTGCATTTGCTGGTTGTAACTTAATTTTGGCAACTGCTGCTGCTTCACTCTGTGCTTTTATTGCTCCGGCGGCGGCAGGATCTGGCATACCTGAGGTTAAAGCATATCTCAATGGGATCGATGCTTATTCAATATTAGCTCCGAGCACCCTCTTTGTTAAGGTAAGATCCCCAAACATCTTTCCAAGCAGTCTTTGGTCATCTTGATTTAAGCATTGGTTTCCAGTTAGACTCTGTAGCCTTTTTCTGATAAGAAATATTTCGTATTGGCAGATCTTTGGCTCTATATTTGGAGTTGCTGCCGGATTTGTAGTCGGCAAAGAAGGGCCTATGGTTCATACTGGTGCTTGCATTGCTAATTTACTTGGACAAGGTGGATCCAAAAAGTACCGGTTGACTTGGAAGTGGCTCAGATTCTTCAAAAACGATAGAGACAGAAGAGACCTGATCACTTGCGGGGCTGCTGCTGGTGTAGCAGCTGCCTTCCGTGCTCCAGTTGGGGGAGTGCTTTTCGCCCTTGAAGAAGCTGCTTCATGGTATTTTCTGTTTCTCTCTAACTCTTTATCACTTATCCAAGGGTGGTACTTTATGAAAGTGAGGTCATTGTAGTAGACAGACTCTGAACTTATGTATGGTAGCTTAGGCTGATTCTACATAACGCATTAAATGACATTTCAAAACTAGGAAAGGGGAAATCTTCTCCCCAGCTAGAAGTCTTACTGCAAAAGTGCAAGAAGAGATCACCATGTTTGTCTAGCTGGAAACATAATGTATCCAACATGACTGCTTTATGAAAATGGAAGTTAGTGAGAGGAAATCTAACTGATGCATAGTGTAGAGTTTAGACTGTTTGCCTATATTGCTATATCCAATTTGGAAAATATTATGTCTCACTTTTTTAAAATCGTTAGGTGGAGGAATGCCCTTCTTTGGAGGACGTTCTTCACTACCGCAGTTGTAGCAGTGGTCTTACGAAGTTTGATTGAGTTCTGTCGATCTGGGAGATGTGGACTGTTTGGGAAAGGAGGTCTCATCATGTTTGATGTAAACTCGGGACCAGTGCTTTATAGCACTCCAGATTTGCTAGCAATAGTATTCCTTGGAGTTGTTGGTGGTGTGCTTGGAAGCCTTTACAACTACCTTGTGGACAAAGTCCTCCGGACATATAGCATGATAAACGAGTACGTCAGTTCTCGAGGAGTTAACTATTTCGTAAAATCATTTTCCAACGAGTTAACTCTTTCATAAAATGATTTCTATGTAAATTTCAGATGAAGTTTTTGCTACTCTTTGCTACTCTCTTTTCAATTTTCTTATTTGTTCTTTCCATAACTTGCAGGAAAGGTCCAAAATTTAAAATTATGCTTGTTATGGCTGTTTCCATTTTGAGCTCGTGTTGCGCATTTGGTCTCCCATGGCTTTCACAGTGTACTCCATGTCCGACTGGCATAGAGGAGGGCAAGTGCCCAAGTGTAGGTCGATCCAGCATCTATAAGAGTTTCCAGTGTCCTCCGAACCATTACAATGACCTTTCCTCCCTACTTCTCAACACCAATGATGATGCAATCCGAAATCTTTTCACATCCAGATCTGAAAATGAGTTCCATATCTCCACCCTTGCCATCTTCTTTGTCGCAGTATACTTCCTTGGCATCATAACATACGGCATAGCCATACCCTCTGGGCTTTTCATACCCGTCATTCTTGCTGGAGCCTCTTATGGACGTCTAGTGGGTAGACTGCTGGGTCCAGTATCTCAGCTTGATGTAGGTCTGTTTTCTCTGCTTGGAGCTGCTTCATTCCTTGGAGGCACAATGAGAATGACGGTCTCTCTTTGTGTTATACTGCTCGAACTTACAAATAATCTCCTAATGCTGCCACTGGTGATGCTTGTACTCCTAATCTCAAAAACGGTTGCAGATTGTTTCAACAGGGGGGTCTATGACCAGATTGTAACAATGAAAGGATTGCCTTACATGGAAGACCATGCAGAGCCATACATGCGCAATTTGGTTGCAAAGGACGTAGTTTCTGGAGCTTTGATATCCTTTTCGAGAGTTGAAAAGGTTGGGGTAATATGGCAGGCTTTGAAGATGACAAGACATAATGGTTTCCCTGTAATTGATGAGCCACCTTTCACAGAAGCTTCTGAGTTATGTGGGATTGCCTTGAGATCCCATCTCCTTGTGCTTCTCCAAGGGAAGAGATTTTCGAAGCAGAGAACAACTTTTGGTTCCCAAATTCTGAGAAGTTGCAAAGCCCGTGACTTTGGCAAAGCAGGATTAGGCAAGGGACTCAAGATTGAAGATTTGGATCTAAGTGATGAGGAGATGGAGATGTATGTTGATCTCCATCCCATCACTAACACATCTCCTTACACTGTGCAAGAGACTCTGTCTCTAGCTAAAGCGGCTATTCTTTTCCGGCAACTCGGCCTTCGCCACTTGTGTGTGGTGCCCAAAACACCAGGGGTCAGTCTCTTTCTCTTTCTCTCTCTCTCTTCCTCTCCGCTAGACTTATTTATGTTTCTAAAGCATATGTTTTCGTATCACAGAGACCACCTATTGTTGGAATACTGACAAGGCATGATTTCATGCCGGAACATGTACTGGGACTCTACCCTCACATTGATCCCCTCAAGTGAATACGGTTAGCCCTTTAGTCTTCATTGTTGCCTGCATTTGGTTTCTCTATTTGTTTTATAAAATCAATTGGAACTTGTTCTTTCAGGTGATAAAGAATGGAGATACAAGTCCCTTGAGAGTTCTCTATAAAGATCTACGATGTAATAATATGTGAATATAAAAAAATTAAAAGCCCAGATGACCAATGTCACTTAGGCATTTATTTCAATTATTCGTTGAGATTGATTATGGAAAATCAGGGGAAGGATGATTGTGTAATGTGGTGAACTGGGTGGGTGATACAAGTTTTTTTTTTTGGTTTCCAAGTCTAAACCAAACATTTTATTCAAAACAAAAAATAAAAACTAAACATGTATTTTTGTTATAAGTCATATCAGTTTTGCTCTTAACCTTCTTTATCTATAGGTGATCTGGGTATTATTGGTGTTTTAAGTTCCTGGTTACATACAAATCTCTCTGCTTAATATTCAAGTGTTACTGGTTTTGGCGACTAGAAGCAGTAAAAGCATAATCAGAACATAACATTAGATGTCAGAGGCTTTTCAAAAATCAAATGCGATGGAAGCAAAATGCATTCATCTGGGACACTGATTAACTCTTTATGTTATTTCTGAGTAAAATCCAAACCAGTTTCTTTCATACCAAAATAGAGTTACTGACACCACAATTCTAGCAGACATAACGAACCAGAGATAAATATAGATAAGTCCAGTGTTCTAAGCTGCGGCTTTTGAGTTTCAGTTTCTATTCAGCAGGATTTAGAAATATACAAAACATGGATGGAAATAAGGACTCAAATTTCTCAATATAGCGTGCGGCGGTTGAATGATTCCATTGTTAAGTTGGCGGTAAAAGCTGGAATCGAGTTGAACTTCCTGATGAATATTTCTATCTGCAAGTAACATACGGAATGAGACTGTACACTTCACTAAGAACACGCTGCGGTTATGAAGGAAAAAAAATATGTCTACACTTTACCTGCTTCGCTATGTCACCCTGAGAGCCGTACTCATTGTTCTGAAGGAATTAAAACAGTATCAGTTAATTAACTGATTCAAATGCAGCATGTCAAAGTTATATAAGTTGCAAGAATCACTTACTAGAATACTGGTGTTTCCTGACTCGTATTCAAACTCGAGTTTTTCATCATCACTTTGAGCATATATAGACTGGAGAGTAAACCGAGTCACTGGGATTCCATTGGGACGCTGATGTTCGTCCATTACAATCTGCCAGAGTTTTCAAAAGGAATTCACAAGATTACAAGTTCTGTAGATGAAGAAGAACTTATGATCATCTATCTACGCGAATAATAGAAGGGTAAGGAAACTATAGACAGCAATAGTTGAACCTCTTTTTGCAACAGAAACCCGCAGTTCATAAACCGTAAAAGATGGACACAAGTATGAACATGACATTTTACAATGTGATAGTCAACATTATCAGTTTATAAATACATTCAGGAAACTGAAATATCCAGAATCATTGCCTTCAGGGAACCATTGTAATGCTAAAGAATAACATTTGAGTGCTACGACATAAATATGAGCAAGTGGCCTACCTTATAACCAAAAAGCTCACAACAAGCCCTTCTAAACACGGAAATTCTATCAGCGAAAACAGTTTTGTACCTGTTTCATAGGCTCCACATATGCTTTAGTATGAGAAATCAAGGTCATAATCTCACAAAGAAAATGTAGAACATTTATCAGCAACAAACCTCTCTTCACGTTTTTCAAGTGTAGCAATTTGCTCTTTTAGTTGAGCAATCTTTCCAGTTATATGAGAGTCAACTAGCTTCCCAGCATCTCCTGAATATTCATGAAAACAAATTTTCAGTATAAGCATAGTAAATAAGAATAAAATTTTTGAAACACTAAATTATTTCTTCTCAAGTCCTGAGGCAGAGCAACAGAAAGATTTTGCCCCTCCCTTTTATTCTCGAGAAACGTAGAATATGATGCCGAGTATATAATGTCACAGAGAAATTAAGGTATGCTTCTCCAGTTTGTACTGAATTCTGTGGTGAGAGTAAAAATTGAATGGTAGACTTGTAGCAAACTCAGTATCAAAAATAGGAAAGGTCGACAATCAGAAATTTACCAGTCTGGCCCTTTAATTCTTCAACAGCTTGAAGTCTTTCTTTTGCCTTCTGTAACTCAGCTTGTAAAGCCTCTATTGTTTGTTTTGCCTCGTTTTCAACACCAAGAGTATTCACCATGCGCAAAACCCTTGTATTTGCGGCAGAAAAATCACCATGGCCCAGCTGCCAAAGAAAAAAGAACCAAACAGATATTACTTAATATTCTTACCAAACTCTAGGGTAGAAGTTAAAGGTCCTAAATAGCATTTCGGTTCGGTTTTACAATAATATAACATTCCATGAAACCTATGACAAGCATACGATGCAGGAAATAAAATTCACTATCCACCCTTAGAAGATTTTAAAATTCATTTCGACCATGGCAGATAGAAGTTCCATAAGCAAATATTTTCTTTGGCAATATTATTTGCAAGCTCACATCTCTGGAATCTGTACCTTTGACTCCAGTAAAGAGATCTCGGAGCGAAGACGATCACTATCCCTTTCCAGCGACTTATTCCTCCTTGCTTCATCGACTAGTTTCTCATTTAGAAGTTCTATTTCAGTACGTTGACGATTATTGACATCCTTCAGTTGACTTAGATCCTGCTCCAAAGCCTTAATATAGTTCTCCTTCTTCGCAAGAGAAGATTCAAACCCCTGTAAATATAAGCAAACTAAGCTTTATACTTCTAACAAAAAAAAGAAAAATCTTCAAAATAAGATCTGTGTTATTCTAGAACCTGAATAAGGGTTCCATTTACGGCTCCAGACGCAGATCCTTCACTGTTTGACTTCCTTAATTCATTAACGACAGCTTTCAACTGCTCTTTCTCCTCCGTGACCATAGTGAGCTTTATTACAAAATCAAAACTCTGTTAGTGATAGTGCAACAAACTGATAGAAAATTATACAAGTTATCTCGAGTGAGACACTAGCAACTTAATCCCCTCGAATTGTGATAGATTCATGATTAAATAAAAAGATGTTTGAAACAAATTCTAACAGTAGACTACACACGTTATTTCCTATCCTGTAAGGTCATTATATTAACAATAAATCTAACAATGGTTCGTCAAAGGACATCATAAATTCGTGAATAGGCTCATGGTTCAATACTAAGGAACTAGCACCAAAATCTAACAATTGAATACACTCATTAGGAATAAACAGACTTTCCCCACATTTATATAGAGAAATTGAATCTGTACTAATTGATAACCAACCCAACGTGAGCATCCAAAAATACTTGGGATATTATCCTATGAATATCATCTCTAACTATTTTGCTTCTATCAGCTTCTTTTGAATGCACAGATCAACAATCAACATGAAATAAAGAGCTGAGCTAGTATATATCTAAGCAAAGACAGTGATACCTGGAGAATCCAAGAAAACAATAAATAAAAAAGAATATTGAATAGAAAATGGTGAACATTTGAAAATGCTATCCGTCGAGAATCAAAAAATAACTTGAGAGGTTTTAATAGATGCCAGCGAAATCTAAAATGCATTTGTGACCCCTTACAGAGAACAAGCAACAATTTTCAATCTTACCATTACTTCGATCCTCTTCACATCTGTTTTGAGGGCCTCAGATTTCTCTTTCGCTAATGCAGCCTCGGTTTCAGCATTCTGTCTGCCAAGTTGTGTAGCCTCCAGAGCCTCCTCCAGTTGTTTAATACGTGTACTTGCCTCCCCAATCTTCATAGTGCTTTGAACCACCTCACTTCAAAAGCAGAAACACAAGTCAGTAGGAAGTATCATAGATACATGTATTAACTCAGAGTGCTTGGTAAACTAGAAATCAGTACTCTAGATGCTCACAGGCCCACACTTGACCTGCTAGACTAGCAAGCCAGAATATCTGCAAAATATAAAGCTATATCTGAACAAAGTGGTGTTACAGACGTCTCTGAAAAATACTATCTAGTTCACCTATGCAAAGTCAGGAAAATGCCCCGTAACAACCACCTCAGTCTTCCACACAGAATTTTTTCATGGCAGGCATAATTATTTTGGAACAATATCAGAAGAAGACTCTAGTGAAGTGAAAAGATAAAATCTGTAAAGACCATGTTGACATACTTCTGTAGCGCTGAGAATTTCATAACTATGTCATCAGGACAGGAAACACCAGGAATGTCATTTAGCAATGGCTTCCAAGAGGACAATTCATTCTCCAACTTCTCCAAGCTTAGCTGCAAGTCATTAAATTTTGATAACTCTGACTCTGCCCTCTCCCTACGGCTTTGTTCTTCTAATAATTTCACATTCAACAACTCTGCATCTAAGTGCCGTGATTTTAATTTTCTAGCTTCTCGCACTTCAGCTTCCTGATACAATTATCAAGAATCAAAATCGACAAGAAAAACAAAAACTAAATAGACATTCAATGGAAAGTATAAAAGTGGAAAACAGATCTACAAATAGTACATTAGAAATTGACTTGCATAACTAGTGTTACATGAAAAATACATCATTCTTTGGTACCTAAAATTTCTTGAAAAGTAAACTCTTTTACCTAGGAATTGTCTTAGATAGCCTAAGTAAATAAGAAGACCATTTTTAAAATAAGTTCAACAAGTGTTTTGAGTAATTTTGAGGGTTTAAGAACCTATATAATCTCTCAGCGTGATTTGGTGCTTATCAGAGTAGGCAACGGAAAAATAGAAATCAATGATTCTGGGTATGTAATGCAGAGTTTCTCATGGTAATCAAGAACGAGTACAGCTTCTATTGGTGAATAAAACAGAGGGTTATGATGTTCTGACCACTTTCATACTCATTTATAATAAATGATACATCTTATGCTGGAACAAGTTTGTAAAATCATTACTCGGGTAAACTAAGAACTGGTAAAACTTACATAGCGTTTAAGTTCCTCCTGAAGATGTTTAACCAATACACTGTTATCTGAAGAAGATGCTGCCTCCGAACTGAATGACGACAGCTTCTTGTCTACTTCAGTCTTTTCTTGCAAACACTGCGTAGAAGAATCATATGAGAAAGCAAAATAAATTACCAAAGCAAATGATGACTTATGACTGGTGTTATTATTATCTAAGATGCACGTCAAATATAGCTTACCTCGTCAAATTTCAGTTTAAGATGCTCAAGCTGTGATCTTAAAAGATTTGATTCGGTCTCAGCATTGTGTGCCCGACATTGCATCCTTTCAAGCTAAAAGCAAAAGAAAAGAGGTGCAAATGCGGTGATTGAATGAGAAACCAAAAACAAAACTTCAGTCAAGATATCAAGTTTCTTAATTGATACTTACATCTGCACCAATCCTAGATACAGAAAGCTTTGCCTCTTTACCCAATTGGGCAATATCATTGTTGAGACGTTTTTTCTCCCTGTCCACACTTCCAGATAGCTGAGTTAGTTTATCCTCCAAAAGTTTAGCTTTTTCTTCAGCTGTTGCAGCAGAAGACTCGGCTTTCTTTCGAAGGTTCATTTCATTCTGAAGTTTTACCTGGTGTCAAAAGAGGACACAGACAAAAGGATTCTGTTAACGATATTGACACCAATGAAGACAATTAAACAGACAAAAGCCCATAGTAGACAAAATCAACCTCCAGTTCATGGCAAGATTGTAGTTCTTTGGTATACCGCTCTTGAGCATTGTTGATCTCCATAAGAAGCTGCTCCTGAAGCATCTTCTCACGCCCTTTAGCAGCAGCCAGTTCTTGCTCTGAGTATAAGAATTTATCTCGAAAATGCTTTCTCTCAGCATCTGTATTAGAATAACAAAATCAAATTCGTCAGCTAAAGCAGAGACATTCGGAATCAAGACCTTCTAATTTCGAATTCACAAAGCCTCTCACCTGATTCGGTGAAGTTGGCATTAAGAGTCTGTAATTTGGTTTGATATTCCTCAACTTGTTTCTCTGCTGTGCTTAAGGCATCTAGAACATCAGCTTTAACCTAAAAACAAGAAGAAAACATCTCAGATTTGCTAATCTACGTTAAGAAATATATGAGATAGATATAAGTAGTGACCATTTGGCGGCATTGATAGGTGCAAAGGTGTTGATCCGCCGAATGATCATGAGAAGTTTGTAGCGGAGCAGAAGCAAGAAGAGGAGAATCTTCGTAGATGATTAGCTGATTGCCGGAACCAGTAGCGCTGGTGGGGACGGGGCTTTCACCGGCGTCGGACCTGAGCCTCTTCGGCGGCGGAGTTCTCAAAATCATGTTTGCGTCGAGAAATTAGGGTTCCGTTCTCCGGGAAGCGAGAGAAAAATTAGGATTTGAAAATTGAAAATGCAGAGGCGCCACTTTTTTTTTTTTTTTTTTAATTCTTGAATTTGATGAGAGCGTAATGGAGGAGGAGCCAAACGGACGGTCTCGCGGAGGAAACTGGTATCGAAGAGAGCCTCAAGTCAACAGAAACAGAAAAAATGTCAAACCCTCAGTTTGATTTAGAGTCTTCCAGTGGATCATGTCGCTGAGCCCATCAAGATTCAAAACGCTCAGCCCACTAAGCCCAACATCAGTTAACGGTCATATCCCAACATCAGTTAACGGTCACTATGAAATATTTTATATATAATTTTTGGCAGTTTTGTATGAACAGGATGATCAATCTTTTTAGTCACGAATATTGTCGATTATCTATGGTTTCAACTTTCAAGTAAGAACCATAGTATGCTATTCACAGAATCAAAATACTTTTTTTTTCAACTTGTTAATGTCATAAAATCATAAGCATTACTTGGCTTTGGAAAAGTTTGAACTTTTTTTTGGCTAATTTTATAAGTTTGTGATTTTCTTGGCCATTTTTCTCAATTCCTGGTATGGATGAGCATTCCTTAGAGTCCTCTTCGTTGCAAAAGTGGAAACTTCTCTAATTCTATGAGATTATATATACACTGAAGCATTTCTTTTTTTGGCCATGGATTAGTTCGGTGATCTCCTTGTAATCCCCTTCCATGGTTATCAAGTAGAAGCCAAGACACCTAGTTGATTGCATCATACGAAGGAGGCTTATGCCGAAAACATTGCTCCACGCCACAACCGATAGCTGCCTAACCTTGATAGTTGCAGGGGAGGATGTTACATATGTATATGCGCTCAAGCATAATCATCTCAAGTGGGTAATCGTGAGATAGCTCCAGAACGAAAAGAAGATTGTGTCTTGCAATGTGGTAGCTTAATTACAACAGTGAGTTTCTAGTCATGGCAGAGTCTAAGAAAGACGGAGTTCATGAGTTCGACCTGAGAGCTAAAGTGGACAACCGTGGTTCGATACGAGATTTTGGCTGGCAATGAAGGCTTTTTCCAGTTTAGATTTCACACTTCTCTGTGATTGGAGTGAAGAACATGCTCATAGTTCTGCAGCTTGATATGGATTTTCTCGCCAAAACCATAAAATTCATTTATATATGTTAAAAATAATAATTTGAAAATTATTTAGTTGTAAATATATTTTACAGCAATAGTTAAATTAATATAACTAAGATTAAGATTAAAAATATGATTAGATCAAAATATGAATATTATAGTATTTTTTCTTAAAGTCATCTAGATGAAGATGAAAATTTATAAAAATTAAGCAAACAAACAAAAATCATGCAGATGCTCCATCCAAATGACATCCAAAAATTGAAAGGAACAACATTCAGATAGAGCATTTGAATGGAACATTTAGATGGACCATCTAGATGTAAATGACAAATGATCAAATGAACAGACCTTGAGGCTATCTACTACTAATAAAATGGGTTATTACTTGAGCCCACTCGGGTTATCCACATCAACTTTCTTTAAAGACTCTCTTAATACGCCGTTTAACTCTTCAGAATTAGCCACACCATCCCAAACAAAGAGAAAGAAATGGCCTCTTCCCCTCCGCCTAAGAAGGTACCTTTCTCTCCTTGGTGCCACATGGAAGGCAAAGCTCAATTTCACGTTTCTTCCTAAATCAGCTTTTGTCGATGGGAAACATTTTCCAACTTCCTATCATTACGCTGAAATTAGGTCATACTCCCTTATTCAATTTCTATAACACTCCGGTTTCAAGAATGTGGTGGTGCATGCAGAGAGGTTTAAAAAAATTGATTTGGCCACATATGTCACCAAAGTGCACTTATCTTTTCGGTCAAACGTCCTGAGAGCACTCCACAGTTAAGCGTACTTGAGCTGGAGCAATTTCAAGATGGGTGACCTTCTGGAAAGTGATTGCCGGAACTGTGTGAGTGAGGACAAAACACATGAAAAGATCACGTGGTGATTTGTAGGGTCGATAAACAAGTCTTTAAAACCTCCCGGACGTAGTGGACCGACCATCGGAGGATGGTAGGCCCACGGGCCGAGAGAGAACGTGGGGTCCATTAAGAAAAGTGGCAGTCGTGGCGTTACAATTTCTCCTTAAATCCTTCATCAAAAAACAATGTGAGCTTACTCTCTAATCAAATCTTATGTTTCCTCTCAATAATTCGCATAAGATGCATTTTAGTCTTCCTAAGTTTCACGTTCTAAACGCACTTGATTCAATTCCACCTTATCAACTATTAACATGCACCTCTCCATCACAGTTATGTTACCCTCCCATGGGTGCTAGAATCCACACTCGATATTTGTATTAAGATTTTATGAGACATGAGGGCTAGGTCTCCAACGAAGCTTTGAGAGTTAAATTGCTAGGAACGAATGAATTTTATTAATATGAATCAAGTGAATACAAAGTAAGCTTTGTGTATGCGAGTGTAAAGTGTAAGTAGGTTTTTGAGCTAGTCGACGATGATTCTTCTCCAAACCGCCTCCTCTCCTTATATAGGATCTCGAACTAGGTTACTCGCTCCGAAATTCATGCCAACTTCCTCTAGATATCAGGTCTGCTCCGAGATCTAGGCTTCACTTGGTCCAGCTTCGTCATCAGCTGCGCTTACATGGGCCAGTGGGCCAGGTCCGACTCGCGAGGCCCATTTACTGTTTTTGCTGATGGATTTAGAGGTGCGAAATCTAGCTCCAACACCTTCTGTTCAGATTTTTTTCTCATCATGGCCTACACGATTTAAAGTTTATAAAAGGGTTGTTGTCGAGATCTACCTTTGGGTTTTGACCAAGTAGAAGAAGAGAGATATAATAGGTTGGAGGAGAAGAAAAGCCCCGGTAAAGTATCTGTAGAGTTCATAATTTATTGGTGTGTCGCTTTCACGAGCTTTTGAAGGTTTCATATATAATGTTCTTGTTGAAATAGCTTCACAGCTTTCATGGTGGCTTTGTTATAGCCTTTGAATCTCGCTACTACATTGTTTTGTAAAATTAGTGGCTTCTTTTGCATAATTCACGAGCTAATTGTGATCATTATTTTTGGTTAAAATTTTAAAATAATAATTTAATTTAAAACAATCAAATTTAAGTTATATAATTATATTTGTAATTAGTATGAAAGAACTATACTGTATTTTAAATATATACTTTCGAAATTTTTGACTAAATTAATAAAAATGCAAAAAGTTATTTTTGAATTATATATATTTTAAGTTTGTAAGTAATATTAAATCAACTATAATCCAAAATATTTACTAAAATAACCAAATATCTAGATAATATTTTATTATATAATCTAATTTATAATTTATTTCAATTTAATTGTTTGTAACTAAAACTATATACTTCCTATTTTTTTTCGTTTGTAGCCTCGTGAAACTCGGGAACGGCTCTGATAAGATGGAATATGAGACTCGTGTAGTAGCTGTCACGTATTTGCAAAATTGTATAAGCTAATTAGTTATACTCAAAAGGGCCTTAATTTCATATTAAATGCAATGGATGAGCCTGATTTGATACCCTAGATGTGATCATGTGAAGATGTCAAAGAAAAATACAAGATGAGAAGCAAAATTATATATGCATTATATTCTTTAACGAACGCCAGGAAATAAATGCAAGAGTTGACAAAATTAAAATAACTAAATACAATGCAAGTAGGGTTCCATTATTTGCACAATGTCTACCTTTTTTAAAAAAATTCTGAGTGGAATTTACAATCCTGAAAACAACATTTCCGGGAAGACTTTGTATATATAGTATTTTTTTTTTGTTTCTTAGTCACGATTTCATGTAGTCTTTGAAAATGACTACATAATATATTAATGACCAGAAGTAGAAGTCTTACTTATATAATAATTCGATTAGGTCGTGAATCGAGTATACAATCCCGAAAATAATATTCGCGGGGAAGACTTTGTGTAGTCTTGCTTTTTGTTTTGTTTTTGTTTTTTTTTTTTCTGTTTTTTTTTGTTTTTTCTATCACCACTTTATGTAAGCACTTATTTAATATTATTAGATCATCACCCGTACTACAGTACGGATTAAATTTCATTTATTACAAAATTTATATATTATATAGTTATAGAATAAAGTCGTGATATATTATAATAGTAAGTAAAAAATATTAATTTTTTTCTGTCATTCCATAAATATAATATTAGAATGAATATATTTTTCTTTTTCTGTAATCCTCAATTAATTATGGATATATTTTTTAAAGATATGAAAACGGAAAATAATATTATTTAAAAAAAATAATATTGTTTGAACAATGAGTTAATTTATGTTAACAACCACAAAATGAGAGTGCATATAATTTAATTAGATCAAAAATCAAAGTATCATAAATGAATCGCATCTAAAACGTAGATTATTTTGAATTAGTTTAAAAAGTTAGCTATTATTTTGAATGAATTTAGGAAATTATTTTTTCAAATTCTAATTCATTGGTTGTTGAAATAGAGATTTGTTTGAGCTAATTACGGAATTTACCAATTATTCACATAATCGAATATGTTATGAACATATATTTGGTATATAATAATACCAAATTCGATCCGTGTGTGGAGTCTATATTTTCATTTTACAATCCCTATGAAAATATTGCGGCACAATCTATTATTCATTATTTCTAAAATTGCTTGCAGAATTAAATTTTCAAATATTTAGAAGTGTCAAACCTTATTTAACTCATCTCATCATAAAATTTTAAAATGTCGTCTATTATAAGGATCATAACTTTCTATCATATAATACATTACTTTTAACCCGCCGCCTACTATAAATATATTAAACATATCTTTTTAGAAAATCAAATTAGTATTTATAATTTTTTTTATATATTTTTTATCTTTTAAATCTATTAAATATTTATGATATTCTTTAATATATTAAATTAAACCTTTTTTTAAATGTTTCAAATTAAAATCTTTAAAAATTTTATTGTAGTATGTAAAATTATGAATTTTTTTAAAAATATAAATGAAATTAAATATAAATATTCAAATAGTTATAAGGATCATAACTCATTTCATCATATAATATATTATATTTAACCCGCCGCCTATTATAAATATTTGTTTCAAAAAATCAAATTAGAGTATTTATATTTCTTAACTTTTTGATCTATTAAGTATTGATGACATTAAAAAAAAAGGAATATATTACTCAAATATGAATTTTTGACCCATTAAATTTGTTCTTTCATACATTGAACAATTTATATTCGTTTTTAAAAATTCAAATCTTTGTATATGCGGAAAAAAATTTACTTTTTTTTTTATTATGTAGATGATATAATAATTTATTTATTTTATAGAAATAGAATAATATAAAAATGAGAGGTGAAGTATAATGATTAATAACAAATTAATATGATAAGTTAAATATCAAATCTTATATGTTCATTTTTATTGGTCATTCTTTTTTAAAAAATTAATAATAGATTTTCGTTTTTATAATTAAATTAAATTAATTAAATTGCATAAAATAGTATTTGACTTATTTATCCTTAATGAGTTGAATTAATTTACTCAATAAAATTTTATTTCTAATGGCATTCTTGAGTAAATTCTTACAAAGGAAAAGGTTAATTAAGGGTTATTGTAAATTGTACTCCCCAAATAATAGTATAGGATAAAGGAGATTTAAAGTTTTAAGATGACTTCAATAAAAGTTATGTTAAGATTTCCGCGTAAAATCATTTTTTTTTTGTTTTCTTTAATTTTAAATATCATTTTCTGTATAATTAAAAACTATTTAACAAAGAAAAAAACATACAGCACAAATGACTACAACAAATAAAAAATCAGTTGTCACTATTAGAGCATGGGCAGTGGGGCAAGCAGGTGGGTGTGAGTCTTAGGGTGTAGGTATTAAAAAACGAAAAAATTGTCTCTCTCTTCACACCCGGGTGTAAGTTTACACTCGGGTGTAACACTTTTTCTCTCTATCTCTCTCTTTCTTTCTCTTTCTCTTTTCTCTTTTGCTTTAAATTATAATACTAAAAAAATACTTACACCCACACAAACACATTTGCAACGAATAAGAAAACTTTAGGTTCTAACCTGTACGGATTTCAAATAATTTAAATTTTAACTTTTTGACTAATTAGTTGTCAATATTAGTTTAAAATAAAATCATAACATTTTCTTGTATCTGATTTTTTTTTGTATAATTCTGCATTTTCTTAGGTGGAGAATATAATTGCAAAACGATTTAGAAAAAGATTTTTTTTCTTCATTCTGAAAAAGCCACCTTCATCCTTTTTGCTTATATAGATCAACATAGCCTCTCCATTCAATCAGCTGTCTCTCTCTCCTCGACTATCATAGGTCAGTTCTCTCTTTAATTATGGTGCTTTTATTTACATCAATCTTTCATAGCTCTAATATATTATCTAAATTATTGCAAACATAATGAGCATGTTCTTAAAATATAGAGCCTCGAATATAAGAAGATGTTACTTATTAGATCATAATTGCATCTGTTTCTTTTTCACCAAAAACAAAACTTGATCTTCTTCCTTCAACTTAGAACTTGTGTTGATCCTTGGCTGGAAAGGCTATATATTACTGACTAAGAAACTGATACAACTGCCATCCATATGTGAAGATTCTACCGGTTCGAGATGACCCAAAGATTGGAAGCGGAAGGGAGCAAGACGTGGAGCTATAAGTGGGATGACAAATCTGATCATGATGATGTAACAAAGATCTATGTAAATTATTCTCCTAATGGCATAGAGTCCATTCGTTTCGACTATGTCAAAAGTGGAAAACCAACTGATGGACCCTTCCATGGTCAATCGTTTGATACTTACACGCACACGGTACATGATGATAATTTAGAAATTTTTTACTTTTTTTTTGTCAACCTTTTTTCGCTTTCTTGCATGTGGAAAATTTTGTAGATCATTTTTTCATTAAATTTTGCAGTTTGAGATTAACCATCTAAAACGTGAACATCTTGAATCTGTTGAGGGCTACTACACAGAGGACAAAGGGATTCAAGCACTTCGATTCAAAACCAACTTGCGGATTTCTAAACCGATTGGATATCATGACAGGTGTACCAAGTTTATACTAGCAGTAGAGGGAAAAAAAATCGTTGGGTTTCACGGATCAATTAATGATTGGAGGGTGTACTCTCTAGGAGCATACTTCACTTGGACTACTCCTACTAGAATAGAAGCGATAGGGGGCAAGGTAGGCACAAAGTGGGATGATGGAGTTAACCAGGCCGGTATTACAAAGATACATGTACGAAGTGGTCAAAAAGACATACAATTCATTAAGTTTGAGTACATTGACAAGGATGGGAATCTGAGAGATGGTCCAATCCATGGTTCTATCTATAGAAGAGGTTCCCCACACGTGGTATGTATACATGTCATGGGAAAATAGTAATTAAAATTTTGTTTATTCAATTGCATGAGTATAATTTTAAACGTTAGACGTAATATTTGTTCTACAGTTTGAGATTAAACATGACGAAGAATATCTGGTGTCTGTTGAGGGTTACTACGAAGGCGATGACGAATGTGGGGTCATTCAAGCACTTCAATTTAGGACTAACATCAAGACTTCCGAACTTATGGGATCCAACACTGGTAAGAAGTTTAGACTTGTAGCCAGTGGAATGAAGATTGTTGGGTTTCATGGATATGCTGAGAAGAATCTAAACTCTCTTGGAGCATATTTCACACTGCTTACTCCAACAAAGTTGGAATGCCACGGTACTGCTAATGAAAGCACCTTTTGGGATGATGGTGCTTTTGAGGGTATTAGAAAGGTGTCTGTTTTATGGGCATCAAATCGTATAAGCTGTCTCAGGATTAACTATGAAAACACTGGCAAAGTTGAAAAGCGTGACAATGGAGTGAACTTCAATAAAAAAGAAGAAGAGGTCAGAATACTTATAACGATATATCCGTCGACGAAATATACATATATGTTGTTGAATAGGTTATTCTGTTTTTTGCAGTTTGTTGTTGACTTTCCAAATGAATTTATCACGTCTGTGATGGGGACCATGAATTCTAGTCAAGTTACGACCTTGATTTTCAAAACATCAAAAGGGAGAACCTCTCATATGTCTGGATGCCATACTTCTGATTCAGTTGAATTTGTTCTCGAGAGAAAAGGTTGTGCTATTGTCGGATTTCATGGATGGTATAAGCCTGGGATGTATATTACGGCGCTTGGTGCATATTCTTTTCCGATGCCTGTTGCCCCTACTGCGGAAAAGCTAGAAGCGCAAGGTTGTGCTGGAGGAGCTCCTTGGGACGATGGCAGTCATTTCGAAGGTGTTAGAAAGATATACATTGGGACAGGTGAGGATGGTATCGTTTCCGTCAAGTTTCTGTATGAAAATGACACTCACGAGATAGTAGTGGGAGATGATCATGGGAACAAGAACCTACTTCGACATGAAGAGGTGATTACTACTACTCCACTTTCATTAGTTACGTGTCCAATTATACAAAAACTTATTTATATTTGATCTTTGACGCTATTCTTCTGGACTATCTTTTTTTTTTTTTTTTTTCTAATATCGTAGTTCGAGCTAGACTACCCGTGGGAATACCTCACATCAGTGGAAGGTAGTTATGATGTAGTACCTGGAAGTGAAGAATTTGAAGTTATAATCATGCTCAAGTTCATCACAAACAAGCGAAATTCTACACGTTATGGACTCGAGGATGGCCCAAGATTTGTGCTCCACAAGGAAGGTCACAAGATCGTTGGGTTCCATGGAAAATCAAGTACCATGCTTCATCAACTTGGGATCCACGTGCTCCCAATCACCCACAATTGATCATATTTATATGACTTATAAACGAATCATTATCCTCCTCTGTTTTCAACAACTTTGATTCGTCTTTCCTTTGTTTTTATTTCCTCAGTTTTGATATTTTATCTTTTTTTTCTTCTCTGTTTCTTATGAACTTTTGGATGATTTCTCTGTTTAATAAAGTGTATGGAGTTGGGGCGAAGCTTGTTGTGACTTCTCTATGTTCAACATGTTGTAATTTCCAGAAGTGAGATTCATTTTCCAGATTCCACGAAAAAGAAATATATGTTCTATGAATCAGAGATGATCTTAACTCGTCTGCTTCCAAGCTTCAAAAATAGCTGAACAACGCATTTTTAAAAGGGAACATACAAAAAGAGACATATCTCAAAAATTCCCAAAAACACTTCAGTTGTTAACTATTACAAAACCTAAAATTTTCTCCTGAAATTTTCTCATTCGTTGCGCTATACGATACCTATCTATAGATTATGCCTAAAGACATGAAACCAACCTTCAGGGTTGGCTACGACTATGAGATAATTATATCTTTTAGAGATTCTTTACTTATTTTCACTTGAGTCTTCTCTAATACACAATCTTAAATTCTAGAACCTAAAAACAATACAGGCATAAATAAGCCAATAACCATATATATGCCTAAAAAGATTAGATGCAGTCGTGAGCATAAAACTTCGTAAGATGATGCATTGAACGGAACCTATATTATGTATTATATTATTAGTTCGATATATATGAACCATAAACATATAGTTTGTTGCATCTTTTTCTTTTTATTCAGGTTTTTCATAGATCCTTGCAAATGAATGATATAACTATATTTTAAATTAAACATCACTTGTTTACATTTTTATCTTCACCAAAACCATTCTCAAATTGTTTTTCCAAAGATTTTGGCGAAACTCGTTGTGTTTGACATCTTCAAGCCTCTCCAATTTGATTTTCTTCACTCTCTTTCTAAATCGAACAAATTCACAAACCAACTTACTAATAAACTACTCATTATGGGTTAGTTTTCCTGTAACGACTAATCCATATAACGAGAAGTAGGCTTCCTTGCTCGTATGGGCCGGTCACGTCTTTTTTTTTTTTTGATAACCCAGTATCCAGACCACACAGTGATCTGACTAGCCCACTGGGCCTAAGCCTGCGTCACAGGGATTTTTAAGCCTCTACTTAAGGGCCCCCTGATAAACTGGTGGTCTGGGGCGCCTGAGCAAGTCCGCAGGTAAATTCTCAGGTGGCCACAGGAGTGAGAGAGCGAAACTGCGTCTGGGGAGGATCGATCCCTGGCCTAGACCAACAGGGCGATCCTTCCAACCAAACGAGAACCACTCGCCCACCACCATGTGGTTCCGGTCACGTCTTTCCCCTTTCTTGAACAACAACCTTGTCTTCTTCTTTTTTTTCCTCAACAACCTTGTCTTCAAGATTTGGAATAAAGACAGGAAAACTATTTGAGACATGCTTTTCTTCTTCCCAAGTCGCATCTTCATCAGTTAGTCCTTTCATTTGATCAACAATTCTAATTGCGATTTCCGAGAGGACAATTTATTCTCCAACTTCTCCAAGCTTAGCTGCAAGTCATGATATTTTGATAACTCTGACTCTGCCCTCTCCCTACGGCTTTGTTCTTCCAATAATTTCACATTCAACAACTCCGCATCTAAGTGCCGTGATTTTAATTTTCTAGCTTCTCGCACTTCAGCTTCCTGATACAATTATCAAGAATCAAAATCAACAAGAAAAACAAAAACTAAATAGACATTACATGGAAAGTATAAAAGTGGAAAACAGAATCTACAAATAGTACATGCCTTCAAATGATGAAAAGTATGTGAGTAGAATTTCCGATCAAAACTAAAATTTGACTTGCATAACTTGTGTTACACCTAAATTACATCATTCTTCAAATTTCTTGAAAAGTAAACTCTTTTACCTAGGAATTATCTAAGTAAATAAGAAGACCATTTTTTAAAAAAAAAATTCAATCAAGTGTTTTGAGTAAATTTTAAGTGTTTAAGAACTTGCATAATCTCTCAGCATGATTTTCTGCTTATCAGACTAAGCAACAGAAAAGTAGAACTCATTAATTCTGGGTATGTAATGCATAGTTTCTATGAGTCTAGACCCCGACTAGGCACTAAGCTCTCATGCGACGCCTAGATGATCGCTTTGACCGCCTAAAATTACATAGAACTTATTTAATGTATTTTTTCAATTTCTAATTAAATTTATTTATATATATAGTTAAAAATATTCATATATTGTTTAATATAAATATAAATAAATGTTTTATCTAATTTTTTGTTTATGATTTCATATTTTTAGTTTTTTTTCTAGATATTTACATTACTTTTATGTATATTATCATACTTATAAATGCAAGTAGGGTTACCAGACCATCGTAAGTCTTAACAATTCAAATTTCACATTATTTTACTATGGAATCCTACTTGCATTTGTCTAAAGAACGCCAAGAAATAAATGCAAGCGTTGACAAAAATTAAAATAACTAAATACAATGCAAGTAGGGTTCCATTATTTGCATAATGTCTACCTTTTTTTAATTCTGAATCGAATTTACAATCCTGAAAACAATATTCGGAGGGAAGACCTTGTGTAGTCTTTTTTTTTTGGGTCATCGATTTATGTAGGAATTACTTTAATATATTTTAATGAAGATTTAAAGTTTTAGATGATCGGTCGTATTTTGGATTAACAATACAAATATAATATATAATTCATATGATTTCAAAAATTTGGATTACCATCTCATCTTTTTAATTCAAGTCTCTCGAGAGTAATCTCATGCAATTAATTAAAAATTTTAAACAATCATGTTACCTATTTATTTACAACATTGCACTTCTAAAACGAAAGTATATGTCAAGATCTTACATTGAAAATTTGAATAGACTTTAAGTAATATATATATATATATATATAAGGAATTTTAATCTTTTGATTAATTGTCACTTAGATGTGAGTTGGAAACCTATAAACTTAATATAGTATCATAGCCTAGCAAGATAGACCTATAAGAGACATTGTCTCGACGGAGCTTGTTAGGATTTAGGATTACCCATGGAAAAGTACCAAGATTATTATAATACGGGCATGGCTTAGTGCGCTTATTAGTATTGGGCTATTGGCCGTTTGGATATTCGGTTTGGTTTTGGTTTGGTACTTTCAAATTTTGGATATTTTGGTTTTGGATTTTAGTATTCGTTCATATATTTTAGAATTTTGGTTAGTGTTCAGTTCAGTTTCGGGTATTTCTGTTCTTTGAATCGAGAACTGATTAGAAACCAAAAATTGTTCAGAGTATTTTTTTGTTCTGGCTTTTATCCTAATAACCAAAAAAATTAGGTTATTTTCAAGAACTTTTGGATACTTTTTCGGGTACTTTGAATACTTTCGAGTATCTTTCGGTTATTATGGTTTAGTTCCATTCGATTCTGCTTTGGCTTTTCAGGTAATTTTGATACGTTGGATATCTTTGATTATTCGGTGCAAAAATAACTAATATTTTTGGATAAATAATCGTATTTTGGTTCCATTCGGATACCTAAAATATTTCGGTTCGGTATCAACTCAGTTCCGATTTTTTTTGTTCTGAAGCTTAAATCAATATCCAAAATATGAATCTCGAACAACCTTCAGCTACCATTTGAAACGAAAAAAGTATATAGGTTTCGGTTCAATACCTCTTCTCGGTTTGGTTTCGGTTCAATATTTTTCCGAACATACCCATGACTATTGCTCATTGTGAATTGGTTCTATGTTGAAAATATTAAGTTTCTGAATTACGAGATTTGAGCAGTCGGAATTCTAAGCTTCTCTGAATATATCGCCTGCCAAAGTTTTCTTGTTCCACATATCTCATACATTTGAGATTTCCGAAACCTATATACAGTAAAACCTCTATAAATTAATAATGTTGGGACCATGAAATTTTATTAATTTAGAGAGGTATTAATTTATTGATAAATTAATAATTATTAATTTATAAAGAGATTTTACTAATTTTGTATTTTTTTAAAAAATTTCTATCTAAAATATCTTTTTTTATAAGCAATATCTTTTTTAAACCAATTACAAGTAGAGAAGCAATTATTAAGTTTAAAAAACAACACAAACTTTTTTCGAATAATAGAGTCATATTTCATTAAATATTTTACAAATTCTATTTTAAATATATATCATAGTAATTCATATATGACAAATATAAATTTATATCATATATATATATTAAGTTAAATATACATATATATATATTTATTGATAAGTTTATACAATTATTAATTTATGATATAGATGGGACCATATGTTTACATGGGATTTTCAAAAAAATTATTATCTTATTAATTTATCGATTTATATTATATTTTACACTGGTCCCAACTCTGAACCGGAAGAATTTATTAATTTAGAGAGGTTATTAATTTATAGAGTATTAATTTACAGAGGTTTTACTGTACTTTTTTCGTTTCAACTGGTAGTTGAAAGTTGTTCAAGATTCATATTTTGGATATTAATTTAAATCGGTTCCAAATGACATGAAACAGTACAAAATAGTTTACTTGATTGTTTTCATATCCCAAAAATTGTGATCGACCACAAACGTAATGTTTGGAGGTAGTAGCAAAGAAATTGATCAGCACTAATAATGGTGATTTCACTTGTCATTTAATCTTAAAATACCTAAATTATCCTTACTCTAAACCACCATTAATATTTTTCTAATGCACATAAATAAGTATTTCCTCTCTTTCATAATAGATGATGTTATGGCAAAATAATTTTTTTAAAAATTTTCAATCTTAAAGTAATTAGTTTTATTTTTTATTTTATTATTTGTATTCTGCATATATTAATCTATATACGAAACCTTAAATCATCTATTTTGAAAAAAAAAGTATTTAACAAGTTACTAGTGCTATGCTTCCTTCTCCAGGTGTATATCATTTTTGAATATGTGCATTTGCAAAAAAAAAAAAAAAAGATTAGAACATGTATAAGACGTCGTTTTATGATATAAGACGAAATGTGAAATAGAATATGTCTAAATAGTGGATCAAGTAAACATGTATAAAACTTGTGGATAAAGATGAAACTCGTGTAGTAGCTGTCTCGTATTTGCAAACTTGTATAAGCTAATTAATTGTATTC